ACTATATATATGATGAGTCATCTACTACCGCATAAAAAATGTCGCCTTACCGTTTTTTTCGCTCTCTCTTTATTGTCTTTTCCTTCTTTACTGTCTCCGTCTCACAGTCTCATCACCTAGAACTCTGAACTTACCCCGAGTTAAGAAATGTAAAATTGTAATTTTACGTTTTTAATGAATTTTGATATTATGATGGAGTTATTTAGTATGAGAGTTACTACGGATGCTGTTGCTACTACTACTACTACTACTACTACAACAAAAAAACTACTACTCTTGTTACTACTGTTGATACTACTACTACTGCTAAGATTTTGTAATAACATTACTTTTACAATTATTACTACTACTACTATTACTACTAACTACTAATACAACTAGCCAACACCTTGATTTCGCCAATAAGAATGGTCCTATACATGCTACAAATATGGTTTAAACGATCGTTTAGTTGTAGACTAACTTCATTTCATGTCCTAAAAACTTATGAGGCATATTGAGTTTCATCTTAGTACATTAAGAATGACAATTTAATACTATTATTTCATCGTAATCCTTACTCTGATTACTAAAAAGTGACTGATTTGCCTTTTACTCCAGAGTGCCAATCCATTTCTAAATTGAGACTATTTTTTTCAAAACGCTGCATATTGACAAAAACTATGAATTTATTATATAGAACTGAAGATGAATATCTTCATTCTAAATGTCCTAAAAACGTTTGATTTTGATTCGGTTTCGGCGGCAATGCTCAGCCTGGGTAACCACACCATGTGCAGACATATAAAATTAATTAATTGTGATATGATTTTTCCCCAGAGTACCAGGATGGGCAAATATAACCTGCACTTGCGGTCATCGAATTCACCCAGAGACCCCGTTATAACAGCTGCGGTGAAGGGTATTGAAAACGATACCTTTGTAGAACAAGACACAAGCCAAAACGAACAAAACGGCCGTTGCCATGCAGCCAGTCTTCAGATGAAGTCGCTCGCAGGACATACAACAGAGGGGGACGTTGATGTACCCAGGGCCAGCGAGGGAGGCCAGAATGTAACAAGTGGACAGCATGGAGGTCAAAAGCGAGCTGAGACACGGCCCAGAATTTTGACTCAGGTGAGGTTTTGTGTCCACATGTATACTTTCGTCTCAGGGTGTGTACACGCATACATACCCACGAATGCACACACACGTACACATATATATTCACATGTACGCACATACGCGCACACATATAGAATACATATACCCGTACACATACACACCACCACCACCCCACTCAACCCTACCCCCACCATCACCCCCCCTCCTCCTCCTCCACCACCCTCCAAACCTCCACCTCACAACACAACACGAACCTCACGCAAGGAAACACCCACCAACAAAAATTAACACCCTTATCTCCTCACCAGGTGGCGGCGACGCTGGTGATGGCGTTCGTCCACATGGGTATTGGAGCTGTCTACGGGTACACGGGGGTCACGCTGCCCGAACTGACTGACCCGGAAACGCAAGACCTATTCCTCAGCCCGTATGAGGTCGCATTCTTCGGTAGGGTCGTGGATGTTGTTAAGTAGCTTTGGTGTGTGTGGTAGGGGGGGGGGAGAGTGGGAGGGAGAATGGGAGGTAGGGAGGTGAGAGAGAGAGAGAGAGGGGGGGCAAGGGAGAATGAGAGAGAAAGGGAAGAAGGGGGAGAGGGGGAGTGAGAGGAAGGAAGGGAGGGGGAGGGAGGTAGGTAGGGAGGGTGAGGGAGAGGAAGGAAGGGAGGGAGGGCGAGGGAGAGGAAGAGGATGGAAGGGAAAGGGTGAAGGAAAGGGAGATGGAGGGAGGGAAGGAGGGAGAGAGAGGGGTGGAGAGATGTAAAGGTATCTATATCTGTATATGTATGAATATACATATTAAAAAATGGTTAAGGTATAGTGTTTTACCATTCAGCTTGTGGTTAAATCTTCAAATTCATTCATGGACCTTATATATAAATTATTTTTTCTCTTTACTTTTTCACTTCACATCCTGCATATGCTCTACATTAACATAGTATTTTAAAGCTAATTTGCATGTTTTCAGTGAACTAATAAGTTTTATTTACGCTCGCTGATTTCACTTAGCGAGTATCAGTGACATCTTTATTAATTTTATTTTGCTTCCGACATGAGTTGAAACCTCCAAAATAACCATATGTAAATGCATAAGTAAAAAATACTTTCCTAAACACAAATGAATATGAGACAACCGTTTTGAAATCCACATTGTATACCAATTTTCCGGTCTGAGGAAGTCGAAGAGAAGAAAGCAGTTATGAGGGGAATAACCTTTCCTCTTCCCTCATCCTCCTCACACCTGAAGATGAGGACTTCGATGCCTTTGTTTCATCCAATAAATATTTTTCTGTGTACAGTTTGTTTGCTGCCATTTTGTCAACAGGGTGGTGCTTTTTTACCATTTACAGAAGTATTACTACTTATATTTACTTTTTTACAGAAGTACTACTACTTGTAAAGGTAGCATCAGGTGTAAATAAGTTAATGACAACTGAAGTGTTATTAGCAGCGTTACAATTTTAATGTCATTCGTCATTTGGATATAACTTGATTTTTTTATTTACTTTCTTGTCTATATTTAAGTACTTTCACACCGGTAACTTCCTGTATGCTTGATTTTACGCTATTTGTTTTATCAGAGAAGTTACACTATGAAATTGATATAAATCCATGGCTGCCACATGCAGAGTTTTTTCTCTCTTCTATATGTTTAATTTTGTAGGGGATCAGATGGTTATCCATATGTAATACTATATGACTCACAAACATAATATGAGCATCACATATCTGATTCTCTAGCCCCTTAGTTTTTTTTTATTGCTTTTTTGATTTTTTAAATTCATTGTTATCTATTTTTTTTTAGCCAGCCTCGCGGATCTAGGCGGGGCGTTCGGATCCGTCTTCGGTGGAGTGCTTTTGCTGAGGCTTGGCCAGCGAACAACCTCTTTGCTCGGACTCCCCCTCAACGCCGCCTGCTGGCTCGTCATGGCCTTCGCACACTCCACGACGCTCCTGCTTTCGATGTGGTTCGTCCTGGGCTTCGTCACGGGGTTCCTGTCTCCTGCCGCGAGTATGTACGTCTTGGAAGTCTCCCACAAGGACATACGTGGCCTCCTGTTCGGGATCGTCACGACCGCCCGACGATTTGGGATTATCTTCGTGTTCGGGATCGGTGGGTTGAGGATCGGGTGGCGCGCCGTCGGCTTCGCGAGTTCGGCCTTGGTTGCCGTTCCTCTGGTCGGTTCGCTCTTCTTGCCGAACTCCCCTCGATGGCTGGTCACGCGCGGCCGCTTCGAGGAGGCCAGGGACTCGCTGTCCTTCTTCAGAGGGAATTCCTACGACATTTCCTCTGAACTGGCTTCCATCACCGAGCAAGTGGAGCGCAGTCAAAGGCGCAAGAGTGGCTTCAAAGACCAGGTGCGCATGATGATGGAACCCTCCACCAGAAAAAACATGGCGCTGATGGGTTTCTTATCGCTCCTGTCGCCCTTCAGTGGCATCGTGGTGGTTATAGGCTATGCAGTTCCGATTTTACAGATAAACAAGGCAGATATAGACGCGTACATGAGTGCTCTCTTGACTAGCGTGGTGTTTGCCGCCGGAACTGTGGTTCATATCTGTATCGTCGACCGCGTGGGCCGAAAACCCCTTCTGGTTGTGTCATTCCTGCTTTGTACCCTCTGCATGGCATCCTTGGGTGGATACTTCTATGTCCAGACCACAGATATAGACGTCAGTGCATATGGCTGGGCCCCCGCCGCCTCCATGATCGCCTTCCTCTTCCTCATGGGCATCGGGGCGCCAGTCATCAACATCCTGCAGGGAGAACTGCTTCCGACGTCCGTGCGAGCTACGGGCATTTCGGTCATCCTGATATTCATGTACCTGGGCAGTTTCACGTCGGCGTTCACATACCCCCTGATCTCTTCCGCTGTGGGTGTGCACGGCGCCTTCTGGATATACAGCGGAGTTTGCATTACCATAGCAATCGTTGGCGCCGTCTGCTTGCCCGAAACACGCGGCCGTTCCCTCGAGGAGATTACGAAAACCGCGCCCGCTCAAAGCACCCAAGAGTGATTTGAGTTCATAATACTGGGACTATTAAAATTGTGAAAAATACTCATTATCTGATTATCCAAGCGTTAGCTAGTTCATGTACATATAAAAAAAAATATTACTGAATATTGATATTTTTGTCATTTTTCCTATCATACAGCATTGTTATTAACGCAGCCGTAACCTAGTACTACCTAATGTTCAGTATGTAAATAGGTTGCTATAGGTACATATAGACAAAATGCACATACAGATTTCACAAAAGGAAAAATTACATTTCCTCATTGTTTATGTCTCTCCCTTGGCTATCTATATAACTATTGTTTCTGTATATATCTGTCTTGTATGTCTATCCCATTCCCTTGTTTATTTGTCAGTCTCTCCCTTGTCTCTCTTTTTCACTTTCTATACTTTCTGTCTCATTTTCTTGACCATTTATTAGTACCCCCTCTCTCTCCCTCATATATATATATATATATATATATATATATATATATATATATATATGTGTGTGTGTGTGTGTGTGTGTGTGTGTGTGTGTGTGTGTGTGTGTGTGTGTGTGTGTACGTACGTGTGTGCTAAATGTAGATTTTTTAAAAATCAGTGCTTCTGAACTTTGCACATACTTTGAAACTCAACGAAAAAAAGAGATGCAATCATTTCGTTTGATTAAGCCTTCACCAAAATCATATGATTTCAGAATTGCATTAAATATACAGTAATCCCGTTGTAGATTTTATCAAAACGTATTACTTATATTTTACTATTTATTAATCCTATGAGTATTACCATACATTGTTTCCATGTATTTTCCTCCTTATCTGTAAGGTCGGTATCATTCCTTAAATTTCTTTTAATTTTTATCCGGACCTCTCTTTGTCATTTAATTTCAAAATAAAAAAA